TTTAAACATCATGGTCATATAAGCATGTTTAACAATCACAAATCAATAAAAAATTTATCAACAAAAGTATGCTCTAGCAATTTAACACCACAAACAATTTCAACAAGCATTTCAAACATACTTAAGAGCAAAATAAATGCATATTGAATGCAAGCTCACATTTTTTCAAGATTATGCAACATATGTCTTGTAATCAATGTTAACCAAATTTTGCATAATCAATCAAGCATTTAAATTTCATTAAAAATAGGTAACCACATTCAAATTCTCTTCAAATAAAAGTTTAGAGGTTACCCATCTCCATTGTGTGTCTAGAGTATTCAATCTTCATTCTCACATTGTGGCTCCTTGCTATAGCACACCTACAAGAGACAATTTCATTTTATTTTTGGTACCCAAATTGCTTTGGGTCCTTGAGAGTTAGTCACCAAGTCTCTTGTTCCTTTTGGAACCCATACTTGCCTAATTCTAAATAGGACTTTTCTTCTAATAGGACAAGTATGTGTAGTATGACCATGAAAATTTCAAAAATTACATTTAATCATTTTAGTACTAAATGAATTCTTTAAAAGATTTTGTTTTTCATTCATCAAATCATCAAATTTCTTTTTCAAATAAAAATTTTCTTTTTCTAAAAATTCATTTCTACTTAGAGAGGTTTTTAAATCTATTTTCAACTTTTCATTTTCTTTTTCTAAAACATTTTTTGCATTCATCAAAAGATCATTTTCAACTTTCAATTTTGAATCATTTTCTTATGTTTCAAATGCATATTTTCAAACTCAATTACTAAATCATTGTAAGCATCTTGTAACTCATCAAAAGTACAAGAGTTTGAATCACAAGAGTTAGAGGTTACCTTTGGTTCCTCAATAGCCATGAGACATGTTGGATGTTGGTTGGAAATTTGTCTTTCATGTAGCTCATCCAACTTTCTCCATATCTCATTTGAGTTTGAACACTTTGATACCAAGTTGAATTTGTGGGAGTCAAGAGCTCCATACAGTAAGTACTTGGCCTTAGCATCATCCATCACTTACCTCATGTATTTTACATCATTTGAAGGAGTTCCAAGTCCTTTTTCAATCACATTCCAAACTCTAAAATCTTGGGCCATAATGAACACCTTCATCCTCCTTCTCCATTCACAAAATTCAAATTTATCAATCATAGGAGCTTTAAGGACTTCCTCACCATCTTGGAACCAAAATTGAGCCATAAGATCTTTTCTCAAGGTGGTTAAACCTACAAAAAGAGACCAAAGCTATGATACCAATTGTTAGCTTTATAGGTTAGATGGTGATCCAAGATGGGGGGTTGAATTGGATTTCTTCAAATTCTTCCCAAACAAATAATTTCAATATAGTTGAATGGAAATTAAAACAATAAGCACTTTTGATGAAAATATAATGCAAACAATAACAATTAACGAATCTAAAATCAAATATAAACAACAATAAATTGTAAGGAGATAGGGATAGAGAAATCGAATACAATGATTTATAGAGGTTCGATCCTTCTTCACAAGGCACCTACGTCCTCTCTTCTTGGTTGTTCACACCAAGGCTTCAATCCACTATTCTTGAATTAAAAATACAACTTATCTTTTTCTTTCTAAGGCTTAAGATAGAAACCTCTACCCTTTTTAGTATTTTACCCTATCTCACTACAAAGCTCTCAAGAGATACCTCACCTCTTGTTCTCTTCCACCCTTGTTTATCAAAGGTAATTTTGCAAACAATAGAACAATCTTTCTAAGGCTAAATGTTTGCTATGTTTAAGTACAAGAAAATGATGAATGAACAACAAATAAAAATTGGATACAATAAATACAAAGATATGGACTTTGAAGCTCTAAAAACTATTGATTCTTTGAGAGAATGAAAATGTAGTTTATTGGCTCTTGCTCTCTTGATTCATCAATCTTCTTGGTGTGTTGGAGTGCCCAATTTATAGAGAAATTGAAGAGGTAGCCGTTAGAAGTGTTTGAGAGAAGAAAATAGTCATTGAAAGTGTTTGGGAGAAGAAAATAGTCATTGCAAGTGTTTGGGAGAAGAAAATAGCCATTGGAAACACCAAAAAGTAGCCGTTAGAGTGTTTTCTCCTAGAACCGATCGATCCCGTCCATGAGGGGATCGATCCTGTCAGTGGTTGGGTGGTTATCTCCTATTCTGCACTCTACTCACTAATTTGATCATATCTTGAGTTATACAAATCCAAATCACAAACCGTTTGAAGATTTAGAAACTAGACTTAAAGTTATTTCTATCCATATAAAGTTCATCACCTAATTCGCTATGTACGAATTATAGTGAATTTTCAAAATTACTCATTGTGCAGTTTTTCTGACAACTGTAGAGTGTCTAGTAAAAATTCAAAATCTTTTCTTAGAAAATTTGGATTTTGGTTTTATTTAATCCATTAGAAATAGACTCAAAGAGCTTTCCAACCATATAAAATTCAAATATTACGACTTTGTGAATTAATACAAAAAAAAAAAAAACAAGTTCAATGTTGGAAAACTTTGTTATTGTAAAATAGCTTTCTTAAGTTAATCTATTTCTCAAAACCAATATTATCAAATTGTATTAAGTCCAAAATGAATAATTTCACTTTACAAACAACAATTGGACTTTCATTTAAGCTCAAATAAATAATCTTTAAAGATAGATTTGGTTTGAGAAATATGACACCAAGAAAGGTTTGTTTAAACTTTGAAAATTGTATTATTTATTTAGTACCAAAATATAAAACTTAAGAACATGTACTAAATAAATCCTTTTTCAAAATCTTGATGAAGTTTATTTAGCTTTAATTTTTTGTCATTTTAAAATAAGGATCAATTCAAGGCTAACAGAAAGCTTGCTGAATCTACTTTTCAATGAAACAAATGTAAGTCAAATCTGAGTTTTCTGTTAAGAGTTGTCTAATTTTTACTTAATGATATATAGGCATTCTGACAGCAGCAGCGATGAGAAATTACAAAATTTCTCTTAATTTTTATACAATGAATTAAAGAACAAAGCCATACATGTTTGAAAAGGTTATTGAGTCCACATTCCAATGAAATAAGTGGAATTGAATTTGGAGTCTTTTATGAATAAATATATAATTTTGATTAGAATATATAAATGCTATTTGGCTGCAAAATATGACATGGATTGCAAAAATTATTACAATTAATCTACAAGAAATTACGGGCCATATATGTTTGAAAAGGTTTTTGAGTCTAATTTTCGATGAAACAAGCACAAATGAATATGGAGTCTTTTATGAATAAATATATAATTTTTATTTGAAAATATACATACTATCTGATAGTAGCATATGACATGGATTGCAAAAGTTATTACAATTAATCTAGAAGAAATTATGAGGTGGGCCATATATGGTTAAAAATTTTATTGAGTTTAATTTCTAACGTACTAAAAAAAACTTAATTTTGAGTTGGATATCTTAAGATAGGGTCATTTTAGTGCAAGTAGTGCAGGCTACCAAAATTAGTTAGTTAACCCTTATATAACTTGGTTGTTTTTAGTATTAATGGTCTTAAAAAGGATTGATTAATTTTTGTTATATTGAAATGATTTTTAATAGCTCATTAACTATTTTGGGGGAAAAACTAAGTGGTGAAATTGAAAGAAAATAAGTAAAATCTTACACAGTTTACTTGTTTTGAAACTTATGTATATATGTATGTTTCTAAATAAATGAAATTTATTTCTTTATTTTCGATATAAGAAAATGGGGTGAGCTTTATGATTATTTTATGTTTTGCTATATAAATGATGGATCATGTTTATAAATGAAATGAGAAATTGATTTATTTTTAATGAATGATTTTATAATAGCTACATATTTTACATTTTGAGACGTGGATTATCGGTATCAAAACTAGTTATACGACCCTAGCTAACAGATTATAGTAGTTAATAGTCATGATCATATGGTCATGCTAACGGTTATCGTAGTTAGCGTAAAGCTCTGGCCAACAGGTTATAATAGTTAGTAATGATCATAAAGATAAAATTATCGATACGGTCAATATTACAGATTATAGTAGTGACCATAGTTAATGATAAACTAATGATAATGATGATTTATGATGATGATGATTTTAAAGATTGATTCATGATTTGATTTAATTACGATATTTGAATGGCAACATATTTTGCAATGATTTATTAATTGATCTGTTTTGATTTTGAATTTTGAAATATTTTGACATTATTATTTGAAAAATGTTTTGAATAATCTTTTTGTATCCCACATCGGGAGTTTAGTAAAGGTATAAAGGGTTTCATCCTTATAAATAAGATGTTTTGGTTTTAGTTTAGTAACCCCAAAGAGTTAGACACCAAGAGAATAGCTAAGTGAGTAGGCTATTAAAGGGTGTAATTGGGTTTTGGGTTAAGTTTTGAGTAAGGAGTTTTAGGAGACTTTTCTCATTCTAAAAGTCTCACAATTGTAAAGATTTATTTGATAGTGGATTTGGTTTGGAGTAGGCCATTTTGAGTTGGGCCGAACCAAATATATTTGTGTATTTTTATTCTTGATTTGAGCTTGTTATTTTGTGTGTGGTTGCTGTACGTGGGTGTTGTTTTTTTCCAACATCTATATGATATGTATGAAATCGATGCTTGATCCGATAAAGTGAATGATCCTATACTAGCTGAGCTGTAATTTATTCATTCTCTTTTTACCTTTTCTTTACACATGAGTAAGTGATAAGTATGTTTAGTCTTGTTAAAAGCTAGAAGATCAAATTGAAAATATTACTTGGGCATTAGAAATATTGTTAGCTAGTGAGATCTTATGAAATGATTTTATAATTTTTTTATTAATTCACCTTTAGATATATAGAGATGTATCATTAGTTAGATTAAATTTATGAATTTTACTTGGGCAAATTATTTTTATTAAATAATTTTAAAATGATTAAAAAGAAATATTTTGTATTACTTTAAAGTTTTATTTGAAGACAATATAACCGTGTTACGTCTTAGTTTTGGGGCATGACACCATTATTACACAAGTCTTGACCAGATTGGATTATGTATCAGCCAATTTGTCAGGCACTACAACAGATTTCAGGTAATTGGAAAGTCTGCTAACATGACAGGCTTGAGCTAGTTTAATTTTTTGCTTTTGCTTTGTGAGAATATTCCAATGAAGTGTGGAAAAATAGATAAATTTGATTATGAACTCGAATCAATTTTTGATAGTATAGTTAGACTCTAAAAGGGAGGAGGTTAAGATCTAAATCTTCGTGAAACCTCCTTCGAGATGGAAACTTGGGAAGGAGAGCAGCGACTGGTTTGGCACTTTTCAAATATGATGCATACTGAAGGATGATAGAGCTATCATTCTTTCCTGCATCAATTTTGTCACGGTCCAAGCTTATTGTCTGGAAAGCACTAGCCAAAGGCAAGACATGGATGCCGTGACTATTCTCCTTTCCTACCAAGTCCTTAAGTGCCTTCTTCTTGAAAGTCCAGCTACCAGTTCTCAGGTTGAAATGGTATAGAGGAAGAAATCGTTGGCCATAGATGGCTACGAACTCCAATGCCGCAGGAATGTATTCAAACTCCTCATTTGACATGTAGTAAGGAAAGCTGACTCTTGTCCATCCAGGTTTTCCTACTATGTAGCCCTGTAATCAAACTTTGCAACTGGCATTAGATAAGTTGAATTATATTTTACTTCTCTTTCATTTGGTCAAAAAAAAAATTGAAAATTTTGAGCTGATGCCCTTTTAATAGCTTCTCTGAGCGCAAGGGATCGAGTCTGATCAATATCAAGCAAACTGTGGCCATAAGGTCCAGCACAAGCACACCCACCTCGAGCTTGGATGCCAAACAGATCATTTAGGATGGTTGCAACAAAAGGGCCATGGAGAGGTTTATCCCTCTTGTTCCCAGTCTCTCCCCACATGAAAAGTCCCCTCCCCTTTTCCTCTGCCTCGTCAACATTGTTACCATCGTTGGTTGTGGAGTAGATGAGGAAAGACAGTATGGCTTGTCTCTGGGTCTCGGTGCTTGCATTTCCTAAAACCCTTATGTTTTGGTTTGGGAGAAGCCTTTCCAATGCTTGATTTATGTACGACTTCTTCCTGGTTTGCAATCACTTCATAACCAATATATTCTTTTACCCAAAATGTCAATGCTGCTCTAATAATCTGAATTATTTGGGGAGTCCCTCCAGTTTCCCTTTCTTCCATATGACTTACGTATATTGTGTCCTGCAAAATAAATTCCCCATTTTACCACATATTAAATTGCATACCTGCTTCCCTAAATGCTGGGGAACGAATCCGATTAATATCATGATAACTTATCATTCTCTAGAGTATTTTTCTATTGACACTGTCGTGCATTCAGAAATTTGGTTGGAAATCTCTGTTCTTCTAAAATTGTAATTGAAATAAAAAATTTTTTAGAGACACTTATCATTCGCTAGTCTATGTCTAAACCCGCTCCATCTGAATCAGGAATTTATTTCTAAACTCCCAAAAGCCTGACAGCTACCTAATCATTCTTTATGTCGTCCAGTTGAAGAAAGAAACCAAATTTCTCACAAAATGGGATATATAAGCAAGAATAAGAAAAAGGTAAAGAAAATAAAATTTTCCATTTTATTGTAGAGAGGTGAACAAAAAATAAAATCTTTTATCTATTAAATTGAATTAATCTGAACACATAAATATAATAAAAATATCTTCATTTATTATCAATTAATTTTAAATTTGAGAGTAATTACCTGTTCATTGAAACCATTGATATAATTAACTGTTCCACCTCCGCAAGTTGATGGAGGAGAAGATCCTTGCTGGTAGAGAGCCTTGCTCATTAAAAGGATACCGGGCGATCCAGGGTCACCTAGAAACTTATGTGGGCTTAGGAAAATGGCATCATATCCATCAATCTCCCCTGACCTAATATCAATCTCCATATAAGGACCACTATCCACAAAAATAAAATGATAAGCACAATAAAAAATCAACTTCTCATTGCTTTATAATATTAACATAATACATAAACTTGGCTAATAATTAATTGTGAGAGCTGTTATTAAAATATTAAAGTTTTAATTTTAACAATCAAAGTTTAAATTCTGACAACCTCGAATATAAAAGCTTGACAACAAAAAATGAAAATTCTTACTGTTTACCTTGCCTGCAAAATCAAAGCAAACAAAACCTCCGTACTCATGAAGAAGTTTGGCAATCTCTCGAGTATCTGTTTGAATCCCAGTCACATTACTAAAAGCTGAAAATGAGCCAAGCAAAGGCCTATTGGTGTATTTATACAGCTCAAGCTGTTTTCTTAGTGCTTCAATGTCTATGAACCCATTCTCATCCAAACAATCTCAACAACTTCAGCAAGGCTTTGATGCCAAGAAAGCAAGTTGGAGTGGTGCTCGTAAGGGCCAATAAAAACTACCCATCGATACTCATTAAGTAATTTATTACCATGTCCCTCAAAATTGATGGTACCGTAATCGCCATAACTTCTTGTAGCCTTTTAATAGCTGCCGTAGTGCCTGAGCCACAAAACAGAATTGCATCATCTTGACCGCTACCTAGGCATCTTTTAATGTAAGTCTCTTTTCAGGTTTTTTGGTGTTTGGAAATGTTAAATATAAAAATATTTCATGTACTATATACTTTCTGTCAGTTTGGTATTTTAAGAAACAAAATTATCAATTTGGTTCTTGAATTTTCATTTTGTCATTTACTTTGACACCTCAGACTAAAGCAATTACTCAATTTATTAACATGACATTAACATCTAAAAAGATATGACATTAGTAAAAAAGTTGAGTTAGTGTCACATCATCAATTATTGCATCAATATTTTAAAATTTTGAAAAATTAAATAAATATGAAATCTTTTTTAATTATAAAAGTTAAAAGAATATGAAAACTTAAAAAAATTCATAAAATCTCAAAATTTTAACAGAAAATCGAAAAAATTCTAAGAAATTAAAAAAAAGGTTCACAAAAATTAAAAAAATCTAGAATTTTTTGACAAAATTTGAAAATAAAAAAAAATCTAATTTTATTAAAATCTAAAATTTTATAAAATATTTTCAAAAATTTTGAGAAAATTAAAAAAATTTCAAAAATATGAAATATTTGAAGAAGTTTACTCAAAATTAAATTTTTTTGGAAAAATATAAAATAAAAAACTTAAAATTTTAATAAAAATCCATTAACATTTAAAAAATGTAAAAAAATCACAAAATATATACAAAAAATTAAAACTGTAAGACTTAAAAAAAGAAGAATTTTCCTAATTTACAAAAATTACAATTATTTTAAATTTTTTTTATTTTTTTAAAAAATTTTAGATCTTTTACTTTCAAATTCTTTAAGTTTTAGAGATTTTTTTTAAATTTTATGAAAACTTTATGTTTACTAAAATTATCATTTTTATGACAATTTCAAAAAAAAATTAATTCTTATAATAAAATTTTTAGATTTTTTTGAATTTTTTAAGTTTTAATAATTTTTAAAAAATTTTAAATTTTTTAGTTTTAGTTTTTTAAAATGCTTAAATTTTTTGGAATTTTTTTTAAATTCGGATGTAATATTGATGATTTGACATTGATTAGATTTTATTGACATGTTTTAATATCTTATTATATATTTATACCACGTTAATTAAATTACTAATGGTGTTAGACTCTGGTAACAAAGTGATGATAGAATGAAAATTAGAGCACCAAACTAAATATTTTATGTTTTTGGTGCCAAATTGATAAAAAAATGTATAATAAATGGGTTATTTTTATATTTAACCATTTTGAAAATACCAACATTACCTTAAAGAGTAAGTATTACTTACCTTATATAGTTAAAATTATATCAATTAGTAATCAAATTTTTATTATTTATCTTAAATAATTCTTAATTAAATTAAATTATTTATTTTTAATATGCCACTTCATCATAAATACAAATGAATAGCCTTTAGTGTGGGGGAGTATTGGTTTGAAGATCTATTTCACTACTTTTATTTTGTTTTGGTTCTCTTTTTATTTATTTATTTTTTGATCCATCTGTTTGTTTCTTCATTCTTTCATTTTTTTTTATAACTGATTTTTTTATACTTTTTCAATAAATCAAAATTTAATTTTAATTCATAAATGTTACTTATTGATGAATAATCATTAATAAAATTATCATGCATATTGCCAAAATCATACTAAGTTTCTGAAAAGCAATCAAATTCTTTGCTTTCTTTACACTTTCTACTTTTTTAGATCATATCTACCCGTGCAAATTATACCGAAAAACAAAAGTTCTCATTCTTTTTATCAATTAAGTCATCAAATTTACAAAATGAATAACTTGTGAGTACGGGTATATTATTGACACCTCTAAATAGCAATGCTCTCCTTATTAATATGGCAGATTGGATACATCAAGTTCCAAACCAAGTAGATCAGGAAAGGTTCAATGTTTTTCTAACAATTGCTTGGGCTATTTGATACTCCATAACCAACTTTTAGGGAGAGGAATGAGAAATATGGAAATTCTTACACTCCAAGGAATAATATATTCCAAACATAGGCTTACTATTTTCTGTAGGTTTTTTTTTTTTTTTACAATCTTTTTTAGAGATCCCATTGTTTCTGAGACAGCAATATTTTTCTTATTGGTGTGTAGAGGCCATGGTTTCGGAGTCCAACCCCCCTCCCGCCTAAAACGTTGTCTTTTTGTTTTATTAATTAAAAAAATGAAACCGTGTCAAAAGGTTACTTTGTATTTTAATAGTATATAAATAACCAAGTCTGCCTTCCTTACCCTCATTCTTATCTTTTTCTTTTTCTACAACTACTTTTTCCATTCTTTCTCCTGTCATAAGCTACAACAACAATAAAAACAGCCACTAATCTTTGTTTCCAGGTGGGAAATGGAGTTTGAGCAACCCATGTTTAGAGAAACAACGGAAGCCCTGAAATTGAAGGCAGCAAATGATAGTAAGACTTCAACCAGGGACAGGCATAAGTCGCCAGGATCAACATGCCGTTCCTATGTTTCCAGCAAACTCTTCCATGGCTCGGAATCATTCAGGGCTCTAGAGATGGGTGTGCCAAAGGTTGACTCCACCGAGAAAAAGCTGTCTTGGCTACGATCTCAAATCACTGGTGGTGATGCAGAATTTGACTCTCCTTTTGGAACTAGAAAACTTACTTATGCTGATCATACTGCATCGGGTCGCTCTTTTCACTATATCGAAAACTTCATCGTCACCAATGTTCTGCCATTCTACGGTAAAGGTTTTTTTTCTTCTGATCTTCAATTGTGATACTCTGATTTAATCAACAAAAGTGATGGTGTCATTTTCGAGTATAAGATATATATATATATATATATACATATATATATATTGGGTTTTAGTATTTGTCAGCTAATCTTGGTTGGTTCGTGCGTAGGTAACACTCACACGTCTGACAGTTAGGTGGGGCACAGGACGACGAAAATGGTGCATGAAGCGTCAAACTTTGAAATTGTTATACATGTAATCGATAATCATTCCTTAGTGTTGACCTTTAGAGTTCAAGGAATGTCTCGTACCCAAATAATTTTTGGGTTTTTCCTATATGTAATAATAATATTAATTACCAAATTACTGCTTAATTTGAAAAAAAAATGACATTAATATAAAAATAAATATATATAAAAGAGAAGTTTTTTTGTCCTTAGCTCTTTCCTTAAACAGTTGTATCTCTAGTTCTACCAATAAATCATTTAACGAAGCACAAATCAATTGATTACGTCACAACATATAAGTGATTTAGTTACAAATTATGATTCTTCTCAAACAATAAAGTGATGGGTGATTGTGATTGGAATGAAACAATAAAAAATTTTCATCGATTGCTATTTTAGACGCAGGCTTGACAATGGTAATGAAAAAATGATTAGTGACTATGGCTGGAATTAAATTTTTAAAATAATCTAATGATAAGAGAATTAAAAAATACAACATATCTTTCAAATTTGAAATAGTAAAAAAAAATCTAATCAATTTTAATTGAAATATATATTCAAAATTTATGGTCCATATATATTCTTGAAAAATGATTAAATTAAAAAAAAAAAGAAAAATTCTAGAATTGACATTTTTTAATTCAAGATTTATACAAACATTTTCATGTTTGATAGGTTTTCATTTTGAATTTAAATAATTTATCAAATAGAATTATTTTATAAACCCATTTTAGAGATAATATATTATTACAATTGAGATTTTTAAATTTAAAAAATATGTTTATATTATTAGGAAATTTATTTTTAATAAAAATATATCTAAATTAGATTTTATTGTTAACAATTTAAAAATTATCCAAGTAGATATCCATATAAGTTAATTTTTTGTGGTAAATTCTTATGTGTCAAAAAATGATATATATATATATATATGTATAGGCATTTACATATCCCATAATACTTACATCTAAAATTTGAAAGTTTTCGATAACTAAATAATTTTTTAAATATATATTTATTGATAAATAGCCTAAAATTAAGAAATGTCTTATATGTCATTATAGAGAAATTTTAAGAATTTTATCACATGTCAAAAAGAAAAACCATCAATGTAAGCAAACCTTATCATGTAACAATATATCCTGTAATATAATATATATTATATATATTTAAAAGATTATTAGTTATCCAAGTGATAAAAATAGTCATACTTAACACAGACCCCAAGTCTTAAGATTTCACAATGTATATAATAAACTTTAATTTTCCATGTGTGCATATACTAACAAAGTAAAATAACAACATAAAATGTCAACCAACAATTCTCATCATTCAAGCATAGAATTAAATATCACATAGATATTCCAAGCATAAAGGAAAAAGTCCAATATAGAGACAAACTGTGATTTGTGAGTATGAAATACAAATGATATACTATTAATAATAAATTACATCAAAAGACCCCAAAATACCTATTTTCTCAATATGTTTACCAAATACTATAGGTCTTATTCCCTTAGTCTAAGGATCAACAATCATGTTGTTAGTCTTAATGTGTTTGACAACAATCTTACCATTTTTCATAAAATTCTTAACTTTAAAATATATTATCTCCAAACGTTTAAAGCAATAGTGCTCTTGTTGTTCGTAGAAAACAACACAGCAGACCTATTATCCTAATAAATCTTTAAAGGTCTAGAGATGGAATTAATAATACAAAGACCTGACACAAAATTCATAAGCCAAATTGCCTATGTAATAGCTCTATAGCATGCAACAAACTCAACTTGCATAGTGGAAAAAACTAAGAGTGTTTGTTTCACACGTTTCCAAGACAAAGCTCTTCTAGCCGACATGAAAAAAATACCCTGGAGTGGACTTCATGTCATCCTAACAACTAGTGAAGTTAGAATTTATATACCCTACTATCTCAAGATTGTCCACCTTTTTGCATACCAACATATGGCTTTTTGTCTTTTACAAGTACCTAATCACTTTCTTAATAGCAACCCAGTGATCCATAATAGGGTTTGAAAGATATCTCTCAAGAACTCACTTTGCAAAAGCAATATCTAGCCTAGTGCAAACTTAAACATACATGAGACTCCCAACTACACTAGAATATAGTATGTTCTTCATGGATTCTTTCTCCAAATCATTCTTTGGGCGTTAACTAAGATTAAGTCTATTACCTTTCACAATTAGTGCATTCCTAGCCTTACAGCTTTGAATGTTAAATTTACTAAGCACACGATTAATATAAGACCTTTACGATAGTCCCAACAAATTTTGAGACCTATCTCTATGAATTTCAATCTCAAGAAGAAAGGATGCATTCTTAAGGTTTTTCATATCCAAAGTCTTAGATAATAGCTGCTCAATTTCATGTAACAAACCAATATCATTACAAGCCTGTAAGATGTCATCCACATATAACACAAGAAAGATATATTTACTCCCCTTGATTTTAAGATATATTTATTGATCAACTTTATGTTTCTCAAAACCAAAGGAAGTAACTATCTTATCAAATTTTAGATACCTCTACTTAGAAGCTTATTTAAAGGCATAAATTGACTTTTTAAGTCAACTTACTAAATGCTTCTTTTCAAATTCTTGAAATCTTTTAGGTTGCACCATATAAACATTTTCTCTAAAATCACCATTGAGAAAAGCCGTCTTTACATTAATCTAACAAAGCTTCAAGTTAAAGTGTACTACTAAGGCTATAACAATCCTAAAGGAATTTTTGGAAGACATCGGTAAAAACATTTCATTATAATCTACTATTTCCCTCTAAATAAATCACTTTGCCACCAATTTAACTTTAAATATCTCAAATTTCCCTTAGAACCTTTCTTGGTTTTATACACCCATTTACAACCAATGGATTTATACTTTTTTAGTAGTTTAGCAAGCTCCTAAGCACCATTTTGAGACATAAAATTTATCTCATTTTTTATTGCATCCATCCATACATTAAATTATAGACTGCTAATAGTTTCCCCAAAAGTCACAAGGTTAACAACATGACTAATGTCATAGTCACTCTTTCAATGATAAATTACATAATCATTAGAGATGGAGGATCTTCTTTGTTTAGAAGATCTCCTAAAAGGTATTTTAATATCGTTCTTTTGAACTTGAAGTACATTAGTAGGAAAAGGTTTATGTCCTATTGCCTCGATCTCTTCATTCAATGGCCACTAGCATAATATGGCACTGTATTATATGTAAAGTGATAGAAATATGTCTAATAGATTCACGATTATCCATAGCCTCTATCACACTCTTATCAGCAACATTTAGTTCCAAAAACTTTGCCACATGTGACTCTACAAACTTAGTTCCACGTACAGGATAATAAAACTTATATCCCTTGAAGCGATCTAAATACTTTAAAGAAAAGCAATGAGTATTCCTAGGTTCAATCTTTCTTTCAAAAGATTATAGATTCCAACTTCTATAAGACGTCCACAAAATTTAGAATGGTTCAATTGGGGTTTCCTACCAGTCTACAATTCAAAAGGTGTTTTAGGAACAGATTTGCTAGGTACTCTATTAAGTATATACAAGGCGATTTTAATAGCTTTACCCTAAAAAGACTTAAGAAGATTAGTCCTGCATATAAGCTCTTTATCATATCCTTAAGGGTGTGATTTTACCTTTCGACCACACCATTATGTTCAAGACTACCAAGCATAGCATATTAAGGAAAATTTGACATTCTTGTAAATATTTAGAAAATGGTCTCATATGTTATCTAGTTTCACAATATCTACCATAATACTCACCACCTTAGAGCTAATGACTTTGATAACTTTTCCTAATTATTTCTTGACCTCAGTTTAAAATTTTTAAATTTTTTAAAAGCATTTCAATTTTCATCAATTAGGTAAAGATACCCATAGCGAAAATAGTCATAAATAAAAGTAACAAAATATTTGTTACAACACAAGATAGATGTAAGAAGTCCACTATTATCAGTGTACACAATTTTCAAAAGGTCAAAATTATAAATTGCCTCATTTTTCTTAGTTTTAGTTAGTATATATTTTATACAATCAACACAAGTGTCTAACTTTTTAAAACCAAGGAAAGATAAAGTACTCTCTTTTATCAATTTTTGCACTTCTTCATAAGAAATGTGACCAACCTTTTACACCACAACAAAAGACTTTTCTATAGTTAAAGATTTTTAAGACATTGTCTTTTCCACATTATTGCAACTATATTAATTATCATAGGCCAAGCACGATTTATATAAATTGTCAATTAGTTTAAATTCATCAATAATGAATTTTCTTTACTCAAAGATTTTTTAGTCACTATCTTTTCAACATTATTGCAACTATATTAATTATTATAGGCTAAGCACAGTTTGTATAAATTGTCAATTAGTTTAAATTCACCAACAACATTTGAATTTTAAAACGAGTCAACTTTTCCATATCCAATGCCAAAATAATAACCATGTTTGTCCAAAATAAAAACTAAAATCAAATTCCTCATAAATGAAGGTGATGAAAAACATTTTCCAAAATAAGTTCAAAAACAGATTATAAATATAAGCCTATTGTTCCTATATAATTAATGGCTACTTCAACATTGTTTCAAACTTTATGTTTAGCTTCTTTCTTAATTAGCTTTCATTTTTTTTTTAATCCTAGCAAAGGTAACAGCAATATGAATAGTTGCACCACTATCAATCTACTAGGAATTTAGTGGGCCACTGACAAATTAGGATTTAAAGCAAGTGAGAGCTAGTGAGTTACCTTCTTGTTTATTCTTTTTCCTTAACCAAGCTTGATATTTAGGGTACTCATGTTTCATATGACATTCTTTTTACAAGAAAAACACTCGATATCTTTCTTAATGGCAACTTTAAGACCTCCTACCTTTTTAGTTTGACCACTACCTTGTCCCTTATTTTCTTGAACTTTCTTATGAGCATTAGGAAGAAATTTCTCAAATTTTCCATAATTTCTTTTGTAATTATATTTGGAGTATATAGCAAAAAAAACACTTTCACCCTTTTCTTTCTATAGTTTTTCTTTCTTAGAGACAAACTTTTAAATAAGATCATCAACACTTCAAACCTCATTCATAGCATTATAGACAGTTTTGATCTGAGTG